CAAGACTACTACATACCTCAGCCGGCCCAGCCCTTCTCACCTCAGTATCAGTCCCCCCAGAACTACTATATACCTCAGCCGCCCGAGCCTCAGCAAGGTGAGATTTTTAAAAATTGAGAATTTTTTTTTGGTCCAATTTATGATTTGTTTTTTCCAATTGAATTACACAGGTGATGATGACCAGACTTTTCAAGCTGACACGCTTCTCACACCTCAACCTCAATTTGTATATGCTCGGAGGGGGTCCAGACAGCGCAGGCCTCCAGATACATACACCCCTAATTAGTTAGTTGTGATGAATTCGTGAATTTTGTGTTTCATTTTCAGATGTTGGATTGTATGTACAATCGAAGTCAAATTAATTTAATTTGTGTTTCATTTTGTTTTTCATTTTCAGATGTTGGATTGTATGTGTTTTTTCATTTGTTTTGTTATAGTGTATGTTGGATTATTATTGGGCAGATATGTTGATATTAGTTGCTCGAACAGGTATATTTGATTTTTGGGTAAAATTTGAATTTTAACAGGTTTTTTCAAATTTTTTCTTCTAAAAACGTATTTAACAAATACGTTTTACTTTTAAATTAAATTTTAAAAATATGTAAAAATTTTAAACGTATTTCATAAATACGTTTTAATGATTTAAAAAAAAAACAAAACTATAAACGTATTTATGAAATACGTTCTTATATTTTTAAATAATTAAAAAAATATAATATGAAAACGTATTTAGTAAATACGTTTTGATATTTAAAAACATTAAAAAAAAAATAGAAAACGTATTTACGAAATACGTTTAAAAGTTGATTAATTTGCTTAATTAGGATAATTAACTGAAACGTATTCCTTGAATACGTTTTCGATTCGAATTTTATTTAAGTCGTATTCAACGAATACGTTTTCTAAATAATTTTTGTCCACTTATTTTTTGTTTTTTTTGTTTTTTGGTAAAAAATTCAGGCTTTATTACTCAAAACTCCAGTCGATCCTGAAGCCCCAAACAATTCGAATTCCCACATTTCCACCTTTTTCAGCGCGTTGCTTGCATTTGTTCAACCCACGAAATTTCCACGACGCGTTGATCAAATTCTGGAATGGGAAACCCCGGCACCTTACATCCATCCATGTTCAATTAGACCCCGTCTCAAATTTTCATCCAGAGTAGATTCAGTTGCAGAAGAATTATGGCTAGGGTATACGATAATTGGGAGAGGCTGGTGCGGTCGGCGCTTCGGAGTGAACAGCGGGCGGGTCACGAGCGGACCCCTAGCGGGATTGCCGGTTCCGTTCCTGATTCGCTTCAGCGGACGACAAACATCAATGCAATTTTGCAAGCTGCCGATGAGATTCAATCGGAGGACCCTAATGTTGCGCGGATACGTAAGTAAAAAGCTTTAATTGCATCCCATATTCATTTTCTCCTTTCTTCTTGTACACTAAAAGAAGGATACCTGTTGTGATAGATCTTTTTTTTGGCATTTGAAAGAAACCAGCAGGCGAGCATAGGATTAGGGAATTCAATTCGCGGAAGCTTATATAGTTCCCTTCACTGTAAAGGATTTAGTTATAAAGTTAGTTTGGGAAAGATTTTTGAGTGTTGTAAAGGATGTATGTTCGACCTTATTTTGGGGGAAGTTTGTTATCGAAAGTGTTTTATCAATATTTCCCTGGGAAATATGTGGAATGAAAAATGTATTCGGATGGGCAATTTGTAAAGTCTTAACCACACAAAATTTAGTTTAACGTTTTCGAAATACATTACACTTGTGTATTTGTTTCCTTTGTTGAACTCCCAACTACTGCTGTTTCCTATTTTATGAGAAACTTTGTGTAGGGTCTTGGAGAATAGTTTTGATAGTACAGTTCAGGTTTGGGAAATAGCATGTTTACCCATTTTCATAAAATATTTCCTGTAAGTATCCCAACCCACACGTCTTGCTTTGTTGGGTATTAAAATGCCTGGGAACGAATTCAAACTGCCTAAACAATGCCTGATACTAGGTTAATTTTGTATCTACCTTAACATTTAAGTCTCTGATAGTAAGAGACTGAGATTGTGTTGCTTTTCACAAAATTTTAAGCAAAGATGGAAGTTGGAAATTCTGGAGGTTTCCATCTCTCATATCGACTAACTTGTATCAGGAAATGGAGGCTATATTTTGAAGAGTTATCCTGATTTCTTGTAGAGATGCAAATAGATTGATTATATTAAAGTAACTCGGTATGTTGCCAATAGAAAAATTGTGGGATGGGCTGATATGACTAGTATACTTGGAGAATTGCTAAATGTAATGTGTGGATGGGTAGGCTGTGCTTGTTTAGGTAGCTCTCCATTTCAATTTCTTGTTTTAACTCTGTTGTTCAGCTTGGCATTTGTTTCACTTAAATTCTTTTTCGCTGAGATATTATGGATGTGTGCCTTTTTTGTTTAAGCATTCTCTGGAAGTTGATGATTTGATTGTTGAACTGAAAATTAACTGTTATTTATTCCTTGATATAAGATCTAATAGGTGTGTTTCTTTTGATCAAGTATGTGAGCAGGCGTATAGTATGGCTCAAAATTTGGACCCAAACAGTGATGGTAGAGGTGTTCTTCAGTTTAAGACTGGTTTAATGTCTGTGATCAAGGTACTCTAACAGGTTACCTTTCACTCATCTTTTTTTTCTTTTTTCCTTTTTTTTTTTAAATTTTTTATCGGTCCGTTCACATACATTTATCTTCTACCCAAGATGGACTTGGGCTGATCTTAGGGAATATATGTTTCCACTTTCTCGAACTTGATATAAAATAATGAATAAAAAAGGAAATTCAGATCTGATTCATATTAGCGAAAAGTTCACTTACAAGAAAGAATAATATCCTTGTATCTGGCATTGACTTACGCTAAAATAAAAGGCGGATAAAACTTTTTTTTTTGGTATGCTAGTTACTTTGTTAACCATGTTTCTTGAGTTCAAAATTCATATTAGGCAAAAAATTGCACCTGACAGAACCATACTTTTTTTTTTTTTTTTAATATTGTGAATCTGTCATAACCCTTTTTTTCTTGGCAATTCAGTACACAACCTTTTTATTTTTGCAAACGAAGCATTGACTCCTTACTGGTCGCTCGAAAGTGAGGGGAATGCCGGATAATTTTTCAAGAATTACAAATAAGTTTAAATTTATTTCAAATTCCCTCCAACACACCTAAATTACACTTATAAAAAGGGGAAAAAAAGGGAAAAGTACGCCCAACTTATACGCACAAATTTGATTCACACAAAAATTTTACAGAATCGGTACACACATTATAGATTCTTTCACACTCACAGATTCCACACACACAGACAAAAATACTACACACACAAACTTGCTCTCACTCTCACACAAACTCATGTTTTGAGTGCTCAGGCCTTGGGTCGGGTACATGAGGTGTCATTGGGTGAAGGTTCTCCAATATATCTAGGGCTTTTGGATTTGATTAGAATTTGGGTATGCTGGTTAAATGGTGACATTGGCGATACTTTGAAAAAATGGTTCACTTTCAAGAGTTTCTGGATTTGATTATTTGGTTTATGTGTTCGTCCATGTGTGTATAACTTTTTTGTAATTACTTGAATGTGTTAATGAGCGTGTGTGTGTTTAATTTTGTTTGTTTGCTTCGTGTGTTTATGCTTCTATATTTTTCTTGCAAGTGCGTAAGTGTGTGTTTTCATAGATTTTATCTTTTCATTTTTTTTTGTAATTTGGAGTGTTTGAAAGTGAAGTTGATATAAATTTGGACTTATTTGTAATTTCTGAAAAATTATCTAGCATTTACTTCATTTTTCGGAGACCTGTAAGGAGTTCATGCTTCAATTTGCAAAAATAAAGAAGTACTGAATTGCCAAGAAAAAGGGTCATGATAGATTTGAAGTTTTTGAAAAAGTGGTGTTGTCAGGTGCAATTTGTCTATATTAATGCTTCTGTACTTTTCTTTCAAGTAGTGAAAATTTTCCTTGCGCTTCTGTTGCTGCAGCAAAAACTTGCCAAAAAGGATGGTGGGCAAATAGATCGTAACCGTGATATTGAGCGCTTGTGGGAATTTTATAATCAGTATAAAAATCGCCACAAATTGGATGACATCCAGAGAGAGGAACAGAAATGGCGTGAAACTGGGACTTTTAGTGCTAATCTTGGAGAGTATGTTTTTCATTGCTGATTTTATAACTGTTCTCAGTGTTGCAGTGTTGCAGTTCCATTTTAGTTGATGCTTTCATTTATATGCAAGTGCGATGCATATTGTTTATATAGCCATACGTGTATTGGTGCTCTGCACATACATACCACTAACAGTGCACGAGCAGATAGTTTTGAAGGCTCTTTAACGGTTTTATAGGGTATTTTTATGCGTAAAATATTTGATATATTCCTGCAGAGTGTAAATTAGACCTATTTGTGCTACATGACTTCTCGCTTTTTTAAGTAACCTGACCTATAATTAGTTATATTAAATATTTCAATATTTTCTTTTTAATTGACGATCATCCTCTGTTATTTGAATTTTTAAGTATGTTAACTCTCCTGCCTATAACTCGGTCCCCGTTTGGGTCTTCATGTTGATAGCTAGGTTCACATTTAATGATGTTTTGGAGGTGATAAGGTGAGATGTGGTGAGAAAATTTATGTGGGTTCCATTTATTATCTCTTCTCGCCAATCGCCATTGGATTATACTTCTCGTTTACATCAACCTAATTCTTTGCTCTCTTCTTGTTCGTCAGTGCTTGTCCTTATCACAGAGTTAACATTTTCTTCTAATATAGGAGTTTCTGAGATGTGTAAACTTAGTCTCATTGTGGGTACAGCATGCTGGAGGGCTTTTGGAATATTAGGTGGGATTTAAAAGTTCAGGCCATTTCCCGTGCAAAACATTATATAATCCGTTCTTTTCACAATATGTCCCCCCTCGTTTTCTTCTATGTGAAGCTATATATAAGTTTCTGTTATCGACGAAAGTCCAAATGGTTTCTTGGTTGGTGTCGTGGGATAAACTTCTTACTTACGATGTGTTACACGCAAAGAATATATATGGTTGGTGTAGTTTAGAGCAGTGTTATTAATGGCATGGCGGATGGCGGATGGCGGTTTGTCAAAATTCCGCCACATGGCGGCCGCCGTGGCGGCCTATGGTGCTGCCATGACCGCCATCCTTCACTAATTTTGCATGGCGGATTGTCAAAATCCGCCACGGCACACCACCATGGCTGCCATTTGATAACACTGGTTTAGAGAGTCAGGATCACACTTCGTGCAATGACCATATGAAGTTGCTTCGGCCTCTAGAGTTTGGCCTTGTCCGGGTGCTTGTGCATCCACATCCGCGTGCAGATATATTCACTGTTTAAGGTGGTATTTAGGACATCAATGCGAGATATTACGGCGGATGGTTGTTTGTCCTTTATTGTTGGTTGATTTGGTTGGAGAGGAAGATAAGGATTTTTTATGATAACGAAAAATGTCATAGATGTTTGGAATGGAAGCATTAAGGCTCTACCGCTCTAGGCACTTGATAGTTTTGGAGATCTGGGAATAGCATTTTGATGATTGTATCTTGTTTTCTTTTAGAGTGGGTTATTTATCTACTGGTTTTCAATTTTGATGAGTTACTTGTTCTGTTTCTTATGACTAGTTGCTCATTGTGTTGGCATTTTCTTGTGGATTTCAGTATTTTCCAAGGCTATTCGTGCTGTTCGTTCATTATTTTGTTTTTACTTATATGCTTTTGACTATACAAATGACCTTATTAGTTTGCTTTTGCCTGTTATATCTGTTTTAGCTTGCAATATAGATTCTCAGAAATGAAGAGGGTGTTTGCCACGTTGAGGGCTTTGATTGAGGTATTGGAGGCACTTAGTAAAGATGCAGCCCCAGATGGGGTGGGAAGGCTCATTAAAGAAGAGGTGCTTGACAATCTGCCTTCTTTATCATGTTCTTCGCATATGTAAAACTGAAATTCTGTTTATAGTACAATATTTCTCTTGTTATCAGTTTAATGATACTTCTGTTCTAGGTATGATATACAGCAGATTGGTCAATACTACCACTGTTGAAACATTCATAGGGATGATTTTTTGCATTTGTTGTTTCAGTTAAGAAGGATTAAAAAGTCCAATGCAACTATATCGGGTGAGCTCGTACCTTACAACATTGTCCCTCTGGAAGCACCATCATTAACCAATGCAATTGGATACTTTCCAGAAGTAAGTATATGTGATTTGCATAGAGATATTTAACAAGAACATCTATGGAGATCTATGTACATGGGTAAAAAGTTGAAATCTGAAGCTGAGCATTGCGTTTCTTTGAGATGGGATTCTATTCATATTATGGATTTCTTTAAGCATTCCAGTTTTTACTTACTTTTTTCCCTTTTTAAATTACCTGGTAAATTGTGCATTGGCTCTTAGCTGCTTTAAAATGATTTGTTCTAGATTTCTTATAAAGCTAGTAACTAATTCCCCATGCAGGTTAGGGGTGCAATATCTGCTATAAGATATACTGAGCAGTTTCCCCGGTTTCCAGCTGATTTTGAAATTTCGGGACAGCGAAGCTTGGACATGTTTGACCTTTTGGAATATGTGTTTGGTTTTCAGGTTCTTTTTTTTCCTTTATTTTTATCAGTTTTCCTTCAGCTTCTTTCGTCGTCTGAGTAAAATATACTTGTTTTATATGGGGAAGAAGTTATTTTCTTTGTCAGCTTCATGCCACTTTAGATCAATTTCCTGTTTTATGGACAAAAGAGAAGTTTCTGAGTGGAAGTTGGCTAGTTCTTTAAGTGTTTGCAATATTGTCAAAGTGCATGTGGCTAGGTTCATGAGTAAAATATTTCTGAATATGGCCCCTAAAAATTTAATTTCATTGTCTACTTTCTTTCTTTCTGAATTAAGTCTTTGCTCTTACCTGTTACAGAAGGACAATATAAGGAACCAACGTGAGCATGTTGTTCTCACCCTAGCCAATGCACAGTCACGACTTGGCATCCCAGTTGAGGCTGACCCAGTGAGTGGCTGAATAGATTTACTTGGATAAAGGTATATATAGAAGAGAAACTGCCCCAATATATATTGCTAATCACTTTTCTTTTCTCAGAAACTAGATGAAAGAGCTGTGAGAGAGGTCTTCTTGAAGGTCCTGGATAACTACATCAAGTGGTGTAGATATCTGCGTATACGCGTTGTTTGGAATAGGTTGTTACTAGCAACACCCTTCTCTCTTTAGCAACAAATGATAGACTAACTTCCTTTTCAATTTGTTATGTATAGTTTGGAGGCCATAAACAAGGAGAGAAAGCTTTTCCTAGTTTCATTGTACTTCTGCATATGGGGTGAAGCTGCGAATGTTCGCTTTCTTCCTGAATGCATCTGCTATATATTCCATCATGTATGTCTTTTGTGCTTGTTCATAGTATACTTAATTGATTGTCTGTCTACCAACTAGTTTATGTTTTGTGGAAGCGTAGGTCTTGGTTTCTCTTAAAGTTCATGTGTATATTGGATAACATAAACTTATACCAATTATGTTCTGTGTAGAAGTACTCTTAAAGTTCATGTTGAGCATTTGGGTATTTTGTTACTGGCCATTTGTCCTTTTAAAATGTATATTTGTTCAAACTTTACTGTATTTTACATTATGTGGGTACTACATGGGTGCTAATTAATAATATTATACTACTTCTGGAAAAATTAAAAAAGAAAGCTTTTTATTTAAGCTTCAAATGCTTCATAAAAAAGTGGCACTATTATTTTGCCATAAAATGTTTTTCTTCGTGTATATTTCATCTGTGAGCTTGAAATCTGATGCTGATCTGCTAAAGTCTGTATTCTGTTTGTATAAAATCAAAATAAAAATGTTTTTATCAGATGAAGCTGTCAATGCGTTTCATGTGTTTTGCTTTGGCTAAGAATTTTTTTAGTGCACGGGGTGTTTACTTTGTATAAGATGTTATAAAATGACTTCTAAACTTTTTCTGAGTATGCCTTCTAGTTTCCCTCTGCCTTTATTGACATTGCTTATTCAGATGGCTAGGGACTTAGATGTAATCCTGGATCGTGGGGAGGCGACTCCTGATGCAAATTATATAAATGAAAATGGTTCTGTGTCCTTCCTTGAGAAAATCATATCTCCCATATATGAGACATTGGCAACGGTGAGTGCATTTTTGGTTATTTTCTTTTTTCGTTTCTCATATGCGGTTCGGTTAACAAGTCAGACACTGGACATTCAAATAAACAAAAAAAAAAAAAAACCTTATATATTTGAGTTATTGGGTTAGAAGTGTTCCTTGCTTCTTTAGTCCTTTATGGTTGATGGAGTTGTCTATTATTTAACAGCGAAAGATTGTCTCATGCAATTATCTAAGGCTATGTTAGGTACATTCCTCCGAAAGAGACTCCCTCCCAAAAGATACCCCAATTGACAAAGAAACACTACTTTTGCACTTTGCTCTGTATTTCTATTGCTAAAGCATACCCCCAAAAGTTTCCTAAACTTCCCTTATTACTCCAATCACCAACCAAACAAAGCTTAAACAATTTCCCTCTCACATAATTCATTTGTTTTCTGCTTATGGTCCACATTTTCAACTTTCTATGCAGGAAGCAATCAGAAACAATAATGGGAAAGCTGCGCACTCAGAATGGAGGAATTATGATGACTTCAATGAATATTTCTGGTTTGTACTTCTGTAGAATTCCAAGTGCGGCGTGGAATCATTGATGCATTTAAACCTCTAAACTTTCATCCTGTAGGTCACCTGCTTGCTTTGAGTTGAGTTGGCCTATGAAGAAGGATTCACCATTTTTGTTGAAACCGAAGCCTAAAAGGGGAAAACGGGTTTGCCTTTGATTATTATTTGTCCCATCCTCTCCTTTGATTTTTTTTTTGTTAATACAAATGACTATATTTTCCTTTACTGTTCAGTATATCCTAATTCTGTTTGTGTCTCTAAACAGACGGGTAAAAGCTCATTTGTGGAGCATCGGACATTCCTTCACCTGTATCGAAGTTTTCATCGTTTGTGGATCTTTTTAATTGTAATGTTTCAGGTAAATTGTACAATCAACGTATTTGATTTTGCTAGTCTTCAGTCCATATCTTCTTTTCTTTACTCCTTTCTGTTATTGCAGGCTCTTGCTATTATTGCTTTCCATGATGGGAACCTTAACCTTGATACCTTCAAAACATTGCTTAGCATCGGCCCAACATTTGCTGTCATGAATTTTCTGGAAAGTAAGTTGTTGGATACTGTGATGTTTGTCTCTGTTACCGTGATTTACTAGAACTGATCCTGTACTAGTTTGCCTTCCTTTTCCCTTCATTTAGCTTGTTGTTTGTTAAATAGGTTGTTTAGATGTGGTACTCATGTTTGGGGCTTATACTACCGCTCGAGGGATGGCTATATCAAGGCTTGTTATTAGGTTCTTTTGGTGCGCGTTGAGCTCTGTGTTCGTGCTCTATGTCTACTTGTGAGTGTATACTCATCAGCTACTACTACCATAATTTTACAGCTTATGTTTGTTGCTCATGTAATGTTACAATGATTTCAGGAAACTTGAGGAGGAAAGGAATAGGAGTATCTCAGATTCATTCTATTTCCGGATTTATGTCCTAGTACTGGGTATATATGCTGGTGTGCGTGTGCTTTTTGCTCTGCTGCTCAAATTCCCTTCGTGTCACAGGCTGTCGGAAATGTCTGATCAGTCGTTTTTCCAATTTTTCAAATGGATTTATGAGGTAACAGTGCCAACTAAAATGGTTGAGATGGTGGATTTGACTCCATATTTCTAGAGAAATCTGGAAGTAGCTTTTACCAACATACTTTTCTCTGTCACTAAGTGCTGTGATTACTTTCAGGAACGCTATTTTGTTGGCCGTGGGCTTGTTGAAAAAACTACCGATTACATGAGGTTTGGCCTTATTTCCCTTGAGATTTAGCACTGTCCTTGCAATTGGGATACTATTACTGAACTCAATTCTTTTCATAGTAGTACACTTTCCGATAACAAGTCCCTCATTTTGGTGACTAATTTTTCTTGTAATTGACGCTCTTAGGGTTTTATGGCCACTTTATGGTAAATAGACTGATTGTTTGCATAATGAAACGGCTTAAACTCTTTTCCTGCTCCAGTTATATGATGTCAAAACAGCCTCACTAGTTGACATCCATACCAAATTTGGTCAAGTTGGGGCCTTTACTTCATTTCGTTCCTGGTGCTTCCGAGATAGCTAATCTCTTTCTTTGTCATATTGAGATCAGTTTGTTGTGCTTATAACTGATCTCTTTCTTTGTCATATTGAGATCAGTTTGTTGTGCTTATAACCAACTTTTGAGGCGATGCCAATCAAATGAATATTAAATGATAGTTTCTCATTGCAGACTCTTACTTTAACATCATGCTAATGACAAAAGAAATCATGAATAACATGCTTCTTGTTATCTCTAGTGGTTCTTAGAGAGGTTAATGAAATCCTTCAAAACGACATCTATAATAACTATTCCGGCAGTTCAGATAGTGGCCAGTATAGAGGCTGAAACACATACTTTGAGTTCAACATCCCAGGTTTTTGTTATACTCTTCACACGTCAGCATCTTTGGACAAGCTAATCCTTGTGCTATTCACATTTTTTTTGCTTTACTTTTGTTCAGCATCAAACTTGTGAAATCACACTCTGATTGAAGGACTTAGATATGGGTAAAACTAAAGGACTTGAGGGAAGAATTTCATATACCTCCATCTGTAAAGGATTGAAATCCTCCAAACTGACGGTTTTGTTTCAACAATCTCACTGAATTTCTTATTGGAGTGTAAAATTATTGAAGAAAATCTTCTGAAAGGTGGAGTGACGTTATAGCCTTGTTTTGAAACACTTCGAGATAAAAAAAATCCTTAAACTAAACATTGTAAATTACTCAAAAAAGGGTGCCAAACAATCATCTTTAAGTTTACATGACATTATTTTATTTCACAGCAATCTTTAAGGAAGTCAATTTGTTATTTGCCAGTTGCAGTTTTTAGAATGCAACTGGTCATTGGCTAATGAAGCAATGGAGCCGGCCTAGTATTGTAAATTAGAATTTTTTTTGAACCGGGACTTATTCTCTTGTGAGGTTATCCTGGGATTTTTCGGAGCTTTCTCTAACATATTTTGAATGTTAATATGCTACTTGGTTTGAGACACAAGGTTTAGCCATTATTGTGAATTTGCTTTCTTTTCTTCTTCTTCTTCTTTTTTTTTTTTGGTTCCTATTATTGTTATTGCTATTACTATTATTGTTGTGGATGCTTGATATATGGTGGTTAAAAGTGATTGAAGATGGTTGACTGCATGCAATTTTGAGGCATTGCCTTTTATTTTAGTAGCTTTATTTTTCATAATTACACGATTGAAATGAGGACTGTGTTGTGTCTTGTGCCTATTTTTGGTTTTACTATATTCATTTACTCATTTAATGATTTTGCAACTAATTTTCAAATATGCAGCTACGTGTTTTTCTGGCTGGTGATCTTTGCTTGCAAATTCCCCTTCGCATACTTTCTACAGGCAAGCCGTTTTACAAATTTTGTTGGAATTTAGGTTATCACTGGGATAGGGTTTGTTTTATCTTGTTGGACCTCAGGCTGAATAATTGGAATAACAGATTAGGCCGCTTGTCCAGCCAACTAGGATAATCATTAATCTACCGCGGCTTCAGTATTCATGGCATGATTTGATATCAAAGAGTACGTTGTTTTTTTCTTCTTTTCTCAGTTAGCTTCCCCCTCATTGATTTGATGGAGATAACATGAGTGGGACGAAGAAAGAAATGTTTCCTTTGGCATTCTATTCACTCCTTGTTTAACCTAAATTGCAAGCAGTGGAATTTGTTGTTAACAATTAATTAGTTTTGTAAGCTTAATAGAAACTCTCGGATTTAGGTTGGACTAAGTCTTTATCTTCACTCATAAGTAATATTATTATTTTGGTAATTCATAGTTGAATAATTGTACCTATTCTGTTGGGCAAGAATCTGATTTGTTCTTATTTGATCGTTGCTGCAGATAATAATAATGCACTGACAGTAGCTAGTTTGTGGGCACCTGTTGTTGCTGTGAGTATATTCATTTTTTTTCATGTACACGATGTTTAGTTGGTAAATTGTTTGAATAATTTGTAAAACAAACCATGTGGGATATGCATCACACGGCATTGGATGGGGAAAGAATTCATTAATTTTACAAGGTTTTCTCACTTAATTTCTGTAGTATTTGGGATTAATCTATACTATTCGCCATTCTGTATTTTTTTATTTTATTTTATTACTTTGTTTTTATAATTTCCTGGTCCAAATTACTCTATGCCTATGTCTGTTAGTGTTCTGTTTTCCTTTTTGTTTGAATTGTGATATATGTGATAATATATCGTACTTGTAATTTGCGGTTATTCACGCTTTTCGCCCCACCACCACTGAATTACAGATTTATATTATGGATATTCACATTTGGTATACCCTACTCTCTGCAATATATGGTGCTGTAATGGGAGCCAGGGCTCGCTTAGGGGAGGTATTGATCTCGTTCTTTGCCACCCTTCGTATTTACACGTTGAATATACTTTATTTGTGCAAAGTAGTTCGTTGGTATTCATATATATTGGACATTTTATGTGTTAACAGTTATTTCATATAGTTCTTTGGTATTCCAATTGCAGATTCGATCAATTGAAATGGTGCACAAGCGGTTTGAAAGTTTTCCGGAGGCCTTTGTAAAAAATCTTGTGTCTCCGCAGATCAAAAGGTAAATATAATGCATAACATTAAGTCCTTTATCAGTGAACTGCATGTTTGAATTATCTTTTCAATTGAAGTTTCCATCATTTGATGTTTTAGGATGCCATTTGACAGACAATCATCACAGGTCAGTTTCCAATGTAACTTATTCATTTTTACTTATAGCAGTTAGTTGTGAATTTGTTGTATGATTATATCATTGTTATAGTATATACTTGATTTTCACCTTTTGCCTTCCAACAACTTCTCACTCTAAGGACCACAGTGACATTTTCCCTATATGAATTGTCTAGGCCTCACCATCCATAGATGGGACAAGTTATCCTGATTTAGCAGGAGAACAGGGATTGAAAGAGTTCTTTTATGATGAGTAGTACGTGTATTGGATCTTCATAAATTGCTTAAAATTTTATGCGAAAATTATTTTCCTAATGTTAATGTTCTGTGTTTTTGTTTAAGTACCAGTAGTCCGATTTTCGCATGTGAGGGATCAGCGTTTATAAGACTTTTGTCTATCTGTCCTTAGTTTCATTGGTTTGCTGAAATCACAATTATCGCATTTTTAAATTTAACTAAACCATGGCAGTGTAAATAGTATTTTGAAGCGCTCGGCAGGTTTACATGAATATTAATTCACTAAAGACAAATAGGGCTGAATACTGACGTATCTTGGCAGTTACATTCTTAAGATTGCACTAACTCACATTCTCAGTTTCTTTATGCTGAGCAGAGATGGATGATCATGACTTGATTGCTTGGCAATAGTATATATAACATATGTACAGTAAAATGACGGATAAATTAGTACTGAATTGTTTGCTTGGGCTGACATAGGGAACTGGATAGTGAATTGCTTTGATCTTATCTGTTTCCCCTTTATGAACTATGCTTAAGCTCGATCTGTTCTGAAAATTCATGAAAACAATGAGTAAATGGATCAATGGAAATTGAGTTCTCTTTTTAAAAGAATGAAGTTTGAGAAACTGGTGTTGATAAATGATAACCAATGACCAGTGGAGGACCAAGAGTTGTTGAAGAAGGTTTCTCTATTGAGGTTGCATAATAGAATTTGAAGAGCTGAGGCATTCGTCAACTAATGAAGTGCCTCTAAGACAGTGACACTTTGCAGATAATTAGTAATATAGATCAAGAACTTTCATGAAATTTAGGCATCATCTTATGAATTGGAAGCATCATGTTATACAACTCTGTCTGTTACTCAGGTTATACCCTCTTGTGCTCCAGACAGTATTTGTTGGTTAGCACTGCGAGATATCAGTCTTTGTTTTGCGTACATGACCTCCATTGGTTGACTCCAATATTCTGTTTCTGCTAGATTTAGCTTTCTCTGCTGTTGTCATAAAAGTAAAAAGGAGATTGCTCTTCTGACTAAACTGAACCTCTAAAACTCTAAAACCTTACAAAAATAGAAAAATTAGACTCACAGTTGACCTGACTCACCAATTCATGTAACTTCAACATACTGTCACACTTAATTGAGGTTTTAGAACTTCTAAGACAATTTGGAATTTTTGGAAGTGAAAATGATGGTCCTTGTTCTTGAGGTTTGAGTTAGAGGAGCTTTTCTTGTCATGCATAACTTATAATAAATTCTTGTATGTGGTTCATCTGCATGACGTGATATATTAGATGTTAGTGGTTAAAGAAGGACATTGAGCTAAGTTTTTATAACCCAGCCTTCATCTGAATGAAGTTAGGTGTTAAATTATATTCAAGCAAATTAAAAACGTAGACTGATTGATATCAGCTAGATAAGAATTATGAGTTATGCTGTGGTGTGTTGCAGTCGCTACTTTTTCAGTGATTAGTATATATCAGCATGTTTGTCTTTATATGGGTTGGCAATGTGGTGGCCTTTGTATTCTTCAGTTATTGCTGAACACTTTCTGCTTCTTACTGTGCATCTGTCTCTGGTCCAGTCTTCTCATGATAATAACAAGACCTACGCAGCCATATTTTCCCCATTTTGGAATGAAATTATCAAAAGTTTGCGGGAAGAAGATTATATCAGTAACAGGCAAGTATTCATTGTCATAGTATTCCTTTCTGATAACCTCAATCATTGACTGTTACGCACACATATATATGTATGTGTACATAATTCAGGGAGATGGACTTACTCTCAATGCCGAGCAACACTGGAAGTTTAAAATTGGTTCAGTGGCCACTTTTTCTTCTAAGCAGTAAGGTGCAGCCTTCTTAAGTTTCTTGCCTTCAGCCATATCTTAATACCATATTTGCTCAAATATTTCTTTTATGTTTATCAATAATCAATACGACATCATTGTTCGCTTCAGATCTTATTAGCAGTTGATTTAGCTCTGGACTGCAAAGACACACAATCCGATCTTTGGAGTAGAATATGCAAGGATGAGTACATGGCATATGCTGTTCAGGAGTGTTATTCAAGTATTGAAAAGATTTTGCATTCCCTCGTTGATGGAGAAGGAAGACTTTGGTACAATGCCATCAATGTTAGGAAAAGAGAGTTTTATTGTTACCATTTGGTTAATAAAATATCAACTTGTTTCTTTCTGGCAGGGTTGAAAGGATATTTCGTGAGGTCAACAGCAGTATATCAGAAGGATCACTTGTTATTACTTTGTCTCTGAAAAAGCTTCCAGTGGTTCTCTCCAGATTTACTGCCTTGACTGGGCTGCTGGTATTTCTTTTTCCCTTCGAGTCAAAAGTGGTACCATTAGGATTAGATACTGTTCTGTAATATTTGGATATTTTCTTTGAGGAGCATGGGTATTTGAACTGTGCCTGATTTGTCAGTTAGCTTCTATTGAAAAAGGTTATCATGAGTGATTGAAATTGTAATTAACTATGTGAGATTTGTGTTATATTTTACATGCATTCATCAATGAACTCATTCAATAGGATGTTGCCTGTGGTCATGCTCCTACTTGATTCACGGAGCTATCAAACCCATCTTGCAATTTTCTTGTTATTAATGCTCAATACTTTATTGATACAGACTGTTTATATTATCTATTGGTATGTTATAAAGAATAAATTTGTGGGCTTCAGACCCATAGGGTTAAGGTGCCCATTATGGCTAATTTGCTAGGGTTAGTATTCAATTTATGTGTGTCCGCACTCAGTCTTTTGTAGATGGCATCCGAGATTTATTTTGTAATAACATTGGCTATTGGGCAATTTATTCTTGCTCGGCTGAGATTTATTCCTGGTGAAAAAGTTTCTTCTGTTCATCCCCTTCCTGGTGGAAAAGCTTCATGCTTACTGTTCATCCCTATTATTATATCATCAATAATATTACATATTTTGTCTTTTAAGTTCTTTATTCCTGACTTTATTGATGTCTCTGCATCAACTTCTGCTAGTGGAAGTAACCTCCTCCACAAGACTGAGGATTTTCTCTTTACCTGTTCTTTGGTTGTGTTCAAGTTTACTGTTGCTAACGATTTGAAAATAATACTTAAAACAATACGAAATAATACTTAAAACAATACTTTAATTTTCCGTTATTTCAAATTTCTTTATTTGCTGAAAACTATAAGTGCTGCCCCAACTTTAAATATTATCTTCAATCTTATAGGTTTGAACTGTCATTCCATGCTCCATTTTTGTTTTGAATGCTTATCCTTGCTACTTGAAATGAATTCATTTACGGGTAACCCCATTTCTATTCTGTCCTTTGCTTGTACATGTCAATAACATTTACTCTTTCTTTTTATATTTAGATCCGCGACCCTACTCCTGAACTTGCAAAAGGTGCAGCTAAAGCTGTATATGATTTTTATGATGTTGTTACTCATGAGCTGCTCTCACGTGATTTGAGGTAAATTATTTTGAATATTCTGCCATAATGGCTACTGGCTAATCATTCATTGACATTTTAGCTTGTTACATGAAGTTGACATTGTTTTCCCCAGGGATCAACTTGATACTTGGCATATATTGCTGAGGGCTAGAAATGAGGGGCGCCTCTTTTCAAGGATAGAATGGCCAAAAGATAGTGATATTGTAAGCTTTCTGAATTTCTTTTCTTTTACTTAATTTTGACATCTCCATGATTTTTTTTTTTTTTTTTTATTCTCTGGTGCAGAAGGAGCAGGTGAAAAGGTTGCACCTACTTCTCACTGTGAAGGACAGTGCTGCTAATATACCCAAGAATCTTGAAGCAAGAAGAAGATTGGAATTTTTCACTAATTCATTGTTTATGGACATGCCACCAGCTAAACCTGTTTGTGAAATGATGCCATTTTGGTATGTTCTTATATTTTACAGTATCACTTATCAACATCATCGTAGTCGTTACTGTATTGTATGTGTTACGCTCTTCTGAGTTTGATGACCATCATGTTTTGCCCGATAATTTCCCCTGACTTATTTCCTGCTGTGATTTGGCTTCCAATAGTGTCTTCACGCCGTACTACAGTGAAACAGTGCTTTATAGCAACTCTGAACTGCGGGTTGAAAATGAAGATGGAATCTCAACTCTTTTCTATCTCCAGAAAATATTTCCAGGTAAGTTGCTTTTCTTTTTGATTGATCTCAAAGTAAACTGTATCACATTCGCTTTTGTAATTCATTGGCATGCTATTTTTGTTTGCAAGTAAATGATGGCTTCCTGGATGAACTATGCTTGTTATAATTATTTATATATAATCCTCCTTTAATATCCATATATGAGCTACCTCGGATCATTTTTTTTTTGTTTTATATTCTTTTTGGATACTTGGCAGCATTTTGTTACATTTGACCACAAGATCTTATAGGCTATTGTCTGCAATATATCTTAACCTCAGAAAGTTTTCTTTTTGCGTTATTGTGGATGATGTTATTTTGTCTGATGAGACAGTGGAGAAGTAACTTCCCACCCGTTTCAGTCTCACGACAAAAAAGTTAAATGAAGGAACTGAAATATTTTTTTGAACTCATTTTCAGCAACCAAATGCTCTCTCTCTAAACTCCTAACAATTAATGGGAAGGAAGAGAATTTAGTGTACTATTGGACAATGTTCTGGAATGAAATGATGAGGAGAAATACCACTTCTATTCGTATTATGTTATTTTCTTGTGTGATATTGTAACACTTGATCATTTGTGTTATAAGATTTGACTGATGTTACCGGCATTATTTTTCTATCTGAGATGATCTATAGTAGGTCAGCCAACTCTCGAGCGAACAAAACTACATTTGGTAAAATGACATCTCTAACTCTCAAAAACCCCTGGCGGTGGAAGTCGTAATTGGTTTTCTGATTTATTTTATAACTCCTGTTTTATATACCCCAATGCACTGTTCATCCTTCTGTACGTAAATAAATTTGTTTATAAATCAACTTTTCCTAGATGAATGGGAGAACTTTTTGGAACGTATTGGTAAAGGGGATAGTGGTGATGCTGAACTTCAAGAAAGTTCCACTAGTGCTTTGGAACTTCGCTTTTGGGCATCTTACAGAGGGCAAACCTTGGCTAGGACAGGTCTCCGATTTATTATTTTATTTACTATTTATTATTTGTGTGGTATTATCAATGTTGCGCCTAGTATGAAAAATTGGAGGAATTCGGATGTTGTTTCTTCATTTGAACTCATATTTATTGCGTTGATTAATGCAGTGCGTGGTATGATGTATTATAGAAAAGCACTGATGCTTCAGAGTCATTTAGAAGGAAGATTTGTAGAAGGTTAAAGTTTAATAATCGTCTTTTTAATCATGACAAATCATAAGAAATGCTAACGTATGTGCCTGCTGCGTGCAGAGAATGTCACGCCTACTAGTTTATCAACTCAAGGTTTTGAGTTGTCACGTGAAGCGCGTGCTCAAGCTGATATAAAGTTCACTTATGTTGTTTCCTGCCAAATTTATGGGCAACAAAAGCAGCGGAAAGCTCCAGAGGCAGCTGATATTGCTTTGCTGCTGCAGAGGTCTGATTTTGGACTTGGTGTCTAATTGCCTCTTTGCATGTGACTCTGTGTATATAATTATTTTATTCCTCAACAAGTAAATTTTGCATTTTGAGTACTATATTATTCTAGGAGGTTTTGAGGCATTATATATTTAAATTACTGATGTTATCATGCAAGACTGCATCCTATGGCTTTACATTGGGTTGTGCAATGCAACTGCTGGAGTTTACATACTGTTCCATGTACAGTAAATATGGCTTTATGAGAAGATGTAACTCACATCTTCAGTTTTGCCTCATTCTTTATAATTTATCCTCATATTGAGATATCTGAAGTGAAAATTCTAAAAACAATAGATGGAGTATGTTCCCTTTGCACTTGGGTGGCTGTGAGCAGACGTGAGTCTCTCCGTCCCTTTATTTGGTTTTTAGTTTGACGCTCGGGAGTTTGCACAATGGTTAGAGGACATCATATTTTGTGCACTTTTACATTGATGTATTTGGAAGACGGTGAGTTGACAGGTTATCTGATTATTACATTTGATGACAAATTAGTTTTAGTAAGAGAATGTGCATTGTGAATTTAGGACTTATTTAAAGACAAATCCATGTAGAAAATGGGAGTGGTAAAGTTACAGTAGTAGTTATGTTACAACAATGTTTTATTATCTTTGTGATCTTGTTAGGTTTTTGGGCCTTTTCTTTTGTAACCTTGTTGAAGAAATTGAAATGTGATATTCTTTTATTCAATAATTATATTTGTAGATGGAAGAACATATGTATTGTGGTGTTTTTTGTTTACTCGGAAAGAACTTATGTGTTGTGGTGTTTCTTGTTTACTCTGGAAGAACTTATGTGTTGTGGTGTTTCTTGTTTACTATTAGAAATGAGGCACTTCGAGTTGCTTTCATTCATGTCGAGGAAAGTGGTGAGGCAGATGGAAAAGTTACGAAGGAATTTTACTCAAAACTTGTTAAAGCTGATGCACATGGGAAGGATCAGGTAATGGATTTGAATCGTCTACCCGATTCCGGTGCCTTTGTGTACAAATCTTTAACGTTTTTCATTTTATTTCCTTGTTGAGTCTGAATAACTTAGGGGGCGCTTGGATATAAATAAAACCGATTTTGATTGGTTTTATTGGTTAAAGTGAGTTAATTTTGAAAAAAGTTGATTGAATGGAGGATTGAGTGTGATATTGAATTTTATTTAAAAAGTATTTATAATGTATTGATTAAAGTTGATGTGATGTAAAAGTAGGAGAGATGTTATGGGAAATGATAGGTTGTTAAAAAAATATGTGAGTGGATAAATAGTGAATTAAAGTTGATGTGATGTGTGAGGATGATTGACTGATATTATTTAATTATGTTTATAATATTGAGGAGAGTTGAGTTGGATTTTGAGTTTAGTAGGGTAAAAAATTTATCCGGTCAGTCAAAACCAGTGATTAAAATAGCGCGCCATGGCGTCGCCATGGCGCGAGGCGAGGCGAGGCGAGGCGAGGCGGGGCCTTGTCGCCTCAGACCCTTGAGGCGAGGCGGGGTTCGAAAAGGCGTCGCCATGGCGTCGCCTCGGCTGTAGCGCTACATAGAGCCAGGCGACGCCTTATAAATTTGAGGCGAGTCGGGGCAAATAGAGAATTTCATAGTTAGGGTTTTACTAAACTAGAATATAAAACATCTTCAATTAACAAATATTACTTACGCAAACGCAAAATTACGTTGGGGCTTCTCTTCCAACTGTGACGGCGACCAATTTTCAGCAACCCACCAGCGACGGCGACAGCAAGAGGTCGTCTTCTTTGTTTGCTTTCCTTTTTCTTTTTCTTTTTTGGAAACGTCCGCCGGGGGCTGGGACTTGTTCAAGTTTTGAGATTTTTTTTTTTATTAATTTATGATGAAATCAAAAGTGGGCTGTGGGCAGGGCACTTTGTTTAAGGTTTTATTATATTTTTTTTATTGTATTTATCATATACTAATTTATGATGAAATTGAAGTGGGCTGTGGACAGTGCAGGGCACTTTGTTTAAGGTTTTAACATTTTTTTTTATTCTATTTATCACATACGAATATCTAATAGTGGTGGGCCTGGGCCCTTTGTGTCATAATTTTGTATAATATCAAGTGTACATATATTTCTCTTTTTTGTATAATAGTTCGCCTCGCTTTCATAAGGCGGGCGCCTCGCCACACGCCTCACGCCATGGCAAATCGGAGCCTAGGCTCGCCGCGCGCTATTTTAATCACTGGTCAAAACCGATTTTAACTTGTAGCCAATTGCGCCCTTACTTACTTTCCTTATACATGTTTATTAGTACTTTTCTGCATTCGTAAGAGTCAGTATGATGTGAACTATATATTATACAAGTGATAATCGCCACATTGTATCTATGTTTTCATTCTAGTATCGTATAAAGCTTTTATTTTATTGACAAGGTAAAGAGGAGATAGGTTCTTTTCCGCCTCTGCTTGTGCCACAATATTATCTAAAGTTTTCGAATGTTGAGTCAAAATTATTTATTGAAGTTACTAATCGGGTAATTGTACAATGATGCTGGGGCCGTAGAGTAATTCTATACTCTATCTCATGGGAGGTGGATGTACCTTTTCGCTTTGTGCATGTGCTATGTGTTTGTGTGGTCTTTACTTCTACCAAAATGTGTTAATTGCTAGAATTAAGAAATAAGTATAACTTTTCATTTCTTTTTTTTTTGGGACTAGGGAACCACATGGGTGTCAACTTTCTTATTTCTTAGATATGTCCTGGGATCTATTGTTCAGAAAAAAATCCTAGTTCAGCTAGGTGTATGGCCAAGGGACTTACTTACATTGTCTCATTGTCTGACTTAAACCGAGGATAGAATGGAAAAGCTTATGTGTAACCGAATATACTTTCATTTGAATGAAATCTTTTCATCGGTAAAAGAAACATAGTGGGATATTCAATGAATATTTTAATGTAAAGTGATGTGATATAAAGAGTAATAATTAATTGTGATGTGATAGAATTATGGTATGCTTTGTTGTATATGATAGGCTTTGTTGTATCAAATTTTGCTGAATTATGGTATTCTTGTTGGTGTCTTAAACCAAGATCTGTTTCACATCAGTATAGCTAAGTTAGAATTAGGAAGTAATAGAGGGTTACAAGTATCTTGTGCTCCCATCGCGCTGAAGTATTTTGGTAGTGAAGCTTTTCTTTCTCGTATTTAAGGATCAACTGAACAGGGATAGACCCTACCCTCAGAAAATAACATGAGGTTATATATCTTAAGAGGCGTTTTCCTTGCTTCCTTATTCCTTAACCATTTGGAAAATTTGAAGGTTTTCTCCTGATAGAGGGAAAGGATAATATTTTGGCCTAATTTTCCCCTATGCATGCAGACAAAAATTTCAACTGATGTTTTACTTATGTTAGCGCAGCTTTATGCACATGACAAATTTCATGATGATTTGATTTTTACCATTTCAGCTATGTTACTTTCATAATTCTGTGTACCTGTTTGAATAATTCTTTACTTCCATACTGATGTTTAGGTGCATGCCTGTATCACTAAATGTTTTTTTTTTTTTTTTTTTTTTTTTTTTTTTTTTTTTTTTTTT